AATGTCAATACGGTAATTGAATCAGATAATGCTGAATTTTTTGAAAGCATCTATCCGTATAAAGCTGAATGCGAGTCGTTAAGTGAAATACCTAAACGACCATGGGAAGAACCAAAGGAAAATACTCCAAGTAATGAAAATCCAAGGGCGTTGTGAACGTCAAAAAACATCTACTTCCTTTGGACCAGATTTTGTGACATTCTTGCTTGAAAATGAGCCTCAAACTTTCCAAGCAGCTATGTCATCTTCTGATTCAGCATTTTGGAAAGAGGCAGTCAATAGTGAGATTCAATCAATTTTGGATAACCATACATGGGATTTGGTTGATCTTCCTCCAGGAAATAAGCCTTTAGGTTCGAAATGGATCTTTAAACAGAAAATGAAAGCTGATGGCACTATTGACAAATATAAGGTAGGACTTGTTGTCAAAGGTTATAGACAAAAGGAAGGCGTTGATTACTTTGACACTTACTCGCCAGTAACGAGGATAACATCTATTAGGGTGTTAATGGCACTGGCGGCCGTGTATGATCTTGAAATCCATCAAATGGATAGTAAAACAACTTTCTTAAATGGAGAATTGGAGGAAGAGATTTATATGGAACAACCTGAGGATTTTGTGGTTCCGGGTAAAGAAATGAAAGTGTGCAAACTGGTTAAGTCACTTTATGGACTTAAACAAACACCCAAACAATGGCATGCCAAATTTGACCAAACAATATTGGCAAGTGGGTTTAAAATCAACGAGTGTGACAAATGTGTTTACATTAAAAACACTCCAGGTCATGAAGTCATTGTTTGTTTATATGTTTATGACATGTTGATAATAAGCACAAATATGGCAGATATAAATGCTACTAAGCGCATGTTGGCTAGCAAATTTGACATGAAAGACTTAGGAGTTGCTGATGTGATCTTAGAAATCAGAATTCACAAGACTCCACAAGGCCTAGCATTATCACAATCTCACTACATTGAAAAAGTACTTGACAAGTTCAAGTATTTGGATTTCAAGATTGCCAAGACTCCAATTGACGTGTGTTATGCACTTCAAAAGAATGAAGGTGAAAGTGACTCACAGCTGGACTATGCAAGAGTATTGGGAAGTTTGATATACATCATGAATTGTAAGCGACCAGATATAGCATGTGTTATTAGCAAACTGAGTCGGTTTACAAGTAATCCCAATCAAATACATTAGATGGCAATGAAACGAGTTTTGGGGTATCTGAAATATACCCAAAATTATGCTTTGCATTATAACAAATATCCCTCCGTGATCGAGGGATATAATGATGCAAATTGGTTCACCGGATCATCTGAAGTTAAATCCACGAGTGGATATATTTTCACAATTGGGGGTGAAGAAGTGTCTTGGAAATCATCCAAACAAACGTGCATCGCCCGTTCTACAATGGAATCTTAATTCATAGCTTTATACAAGGCCGGTGAAGAAGTTGAATGGCTCCGAAATTTCTTGGAAGATATTCCATTTTGGCCCAAACCTTTGACACCTATATGTATACATTGTGATAGCCAAGCAGTAATAGGCAGGGCAGGGAGCGTTATATATAACGAAAAATCTTGTCACATTCGACGGAGACACAATACCGTTAGACAACTACTCTAGTGGTGTTATCACACTTTATTACGTAAAGTCAAGAGATAACATGTTGGATCCACTTACAAAAGGCCTATCTAGAGAGGCAGTTGAAAGATCATCGAAGGGAATGGGGTTAAGGCCTAGGACAAGTCAACATGGCGGTAACTCTACCTAGCAGACTGGAGATCCCAAGAGCTAGGTTCAAAGATATCAAACAAAGTTATGAATGACGGTTCAACATTGTCAAATAACTCAACCCATTCTCGTGATGAAGACAATGTTAAGAAATCAGGGTAAAGCATTAAGGCTTTTTGATGAGTCAATAAAGCTTAAAGTTTTTTAATGATTTGCTATATCTGGAAGGAAATGTTCAGATAGTGTGTCTATAGGATTACAGGATTAGAAATCACCTATGTGAGTGTGAAGTGTAAGCTGTTTCGAGGGGAATAAAAGTAATGGCCCATTCTCTAAGCACTCATGAAACCAGGCGGTGTTCATGGCTGAAACAAACACAACCGTGAGAACCATAGATGGTTAAGGGTTGATTGTATGACTTATGTTGTCTAGGTATACAACAAAGCTCGACGGTTCAAAGATATCAAATCTACCCATTGACCGAGTATATCCGATATTAATTCACTACGAAAATTTCTAAGAGAAACCTACTTATCGAGATGCAATTAATCCTTGCATGTAAATCACACATTCGTCCGTGCCTTCCTTTGTCTTATAGACATTCACCATTCATGTGGAAAATTGTTGGGATTAAAAGATTGGTGAATGAGAAATAGAGGGAAGAAAGTGGAGGGAAAGTAAGCTCCCTTTTGCTTCGGAAAGAGCAAAGTGTCCCTCATTGTTGGTGGAAAGAAAAGTCAGTATGCTTATCTCGAGAAAGCACTTCTCTTAGTGTTAAATGGGTTGGAAAGAAAGTAAGCCTCGCGTCGTCGCCGCTCGGCTCGGCTTCGGCTTCAGCTTCGGATTCGGATTTAGCCAAAGATTGATTGATTAATCTTTTTGGACAAAATTTCTTTCAATTATTTAACTAATTAATTAAATTAATAAACGAAAAAATCCAACCAGGAATAACCCAGGACCCACGACACGATCCGGTGTGGTTCTTTTCCGAATTATTTTAAATTATTTTCCCGAAATATTTCAAACGTGAAATGTTCCCACCTGTTCCAACAGCCATGGCTGTTTCTGAAAGGTTGCAAACCTTTTCAGAAACAGTGCCAGAAAAATGGCTATAAATATAGCTTGATCCCAGAATCCTTTATTACGAAATTTTCTGATAGTCTTCTTCTTCTTCTGCACAAAATTTTTCAGTGTGTTTTACAACCATTGAGTGGTTCGCATTCATCAGAGTTTTTGGTACCAATACACTGGTGAGTTAAATCGTTCTATCCTGGGAGGATAATATTCCAGCACCTCGGGTACTTGAGGGGAATAATTTTCTTAAGGACACACTGTGCATTCAGTGGGCTCGATTTATTTTTGAAATTAGTTTCAGATATTATTTCGATATTTTGTTGCTGCTAACTTTCTATTTCTGTTTTCTGTTTCAGAAAGTTTATTGTTTCATTATTCATTATAGTAATACAAATTGGATAACAATATACATATTACGTCCATCTATCAGTCCAAGAATACACGCTATGTTACTTTTATTAATAAAAATACCTTACGTTTAATGGCAGATCAGGTGAACCTTAAAATTAATGCGTTGACATTTTTTTACTAGGCCACCTAGCACGTGTAATACGTTGCCAATTAATTAAAAGTGGGGCTCACATCTGTTGTCGTTAAATCGATGGGTAATTTTTGTAATAGAAATAACGACGAGGGTATATTTGGACGAATAGATGGACAAAGGGTATCTATAAACCATTTAGTAAACAATAGGGGTGGTTTAGGCCCTTTTTCATTTAAACAATAGATATTCTACTCCTCAAAACTCAATTATATTTTTAAAATACCTATTTTATCCTCAATTTTATCAGCCTTAGTTTTTTTTTTACTTTTTTAATACCACAATTTTTTCTTAATCCATGTTATGAATTTAATTATAGTAAATAATTTTTTTTAAACAATAAAAAAAAAAATCAATCATATATAATTTATTGAAATTGAATAATGAAAGAAATAGGAACAATTAATAAATTAGAATAAAAGATCTTATTAATATCAACCAAATAAAAGGTAACAAAGTAATATAAAAAATAATAATAATAATAAATAAATTTAGATTTTATAATAACTTCCTAAAATATTACATACTTATACCTTGGATGTTCTTTAAATTATAATTTAAAATATATTTCGTTAATAAAAATAAAAATTCAAATATATATATATATATATCTCAAAGATGTAACGATTTATTGTAACAAAATTTATTGTAACAATCATATTTATAAACGAAAGAAGTATAAAGAACTCTTATAATAAGTCAAAATTGTTACCTTTATAATAATATATATTTAAATAATCCCTTTTATATATAAAGAACTCTTTTTTGAAATTTAAATATATACTTAATATTAAAGTAACAACAAAAAAGAATAACGATGATTTTTGTCATAAAAGTATTATCCTAGTTAAATTTTATTGAGCTTTAATTATAAAATTCATAATAAGATATTTAGCTAAGTGTTTTACCAATTTAAATATATATAAAAATTATATGCATAGTGGATGAATTAAAATATTAAGGGTAAAATAGATAATGCATATGATAGGAGGAGTAAAATGTCTATTGTTTAATATTGGAAGAGGAGTTTGATTTTTAAGGCAAACTTGGGGGATCAAAATAATTTTTACGTCATATCTTTTAGAAATAAAAAAATGGAGTTAATCATTGAAGTCATGATTTTCGATTTCAAAATATAAAAAGTAAAAACACACAAAATAAATAAATATATATATATATATATATATATATATATATTCGACATAGTGTATTTACATAAAAAAAAATCACTTATCTACTTAATGTTATTAATTTTTACTGATAGAGCCTACATTATAGACATTTCATGAGATTTCATGTTCATCTTAAAGATGAACATTGGAAAAATTTGCCACTTGGACAAAGTTGATGTCAATTTATTACAACCAAATTCTTGACAAAGGTGTAGTATTGCTTTTCTCCTAGGGTTTACACACCGGCCCCTACGTACACTCCCAAACCTTACCCTATGTTTATTCTTAGAGTTTAAGTTGAAGAGAAAATAAGATAACAATCTATTGATAAAGATGAAGAGAAAATAAGATAATAATGGTAACTAACATTGGTATCAAAAATTAAAATTCACTAGTAATGGTAAAAATAAAAAAATTTACACTGTTAATATTAATGACTTAAATCCTTATTATTTTTTTGCTTTACAAATGGATGAATAAGACAAGTTTCTTGTTCGTTATTATTATCATGTCCTTTATAAGGAAGACTTGATGTGGTTTGGGTCAAATCATGAAGAGAGGTAGTGGGAAAAGTCTTTGAACAATATTGAAAGTTTCAATATACACACATATAATTATTGATCCCATATATAGCTTCCTCAAGTACTCCTTAATTACAACAATAACCTATTCTTATTCTCCTCTTCCACATCCAATGCACCCTTCTATATAAATGTCATGAAAAATTATTCAATTCCTATATGGAAATGGAATTTTCATCCCCTCAAATTCAATACCCAAATTTCAATTTCTTCCAAGATCAATCACCATTACCATGGAATAATGAACTTTTCTTAGATCATGACCATTTGACTAAATATCCATGGGAAGTTGACTCCTTCGAAGAAAAGTACGATCGTCAGATACCAAGAAGTTCTTCATACTCAGACGTTACGAATTCCTCCAAAGGAAGCAATTATCATGAAGAAGAGGTCACATCACACAATTCCACCCAAAACAAAAACACAACAAAAGAAGAAAAAGAAGAAAAACACTATATAGGAGTTAGAAAAAGACCATGGGGAAAATATGCAGCAGAAATAAGGGACTCAACAAGAAATGGAATGAGAGTTTGGTTAGGGACTTTTAATACAGCAGAAGAAGCTGCTTTAGCATATGATCAAGCTGCACTTTCTATGAGAGGTCCATTGGCACTACTCAATTTTCCTATGGACAAAGTAAGAGAATCACTTGAAAATATTAAGTATTCTTGTGAAGATGGATTGTCTCCAGCTGCTGTTTTAAAAGCAACAAATAAAATGAGATGTGTGAAACATAGGAGAAATAGGAAGACGAGAAAGAAGAAAACTGTTTTGGTTTTTCAAGACTTGGGGGCTGACTTGTTAGATGAGCTTTTGATGAGTTCATCTCAGAGTAACACTTCAAGTTGTTTGTAAAAACTGCTCTCTTTTTTTTTCCACTTTTTTTGGTGGACCTTTTATGTGTATGTATATTTCTGATTTGGTTGTCATTGTGAATCTATATATAGTTAAGGTACACTGGGTCTTATTATCTTAATGTTAGTATTCTGTATTTTTATGGAGTTCAATTTCACTGAATATGTGTCGGAGACAACGGGCAGTCCTTATACTATTCCAGGAATCCAATTATGTACCAACTCCTGAAAGCTCAATATATCTGCTAGCAAGGTTTGATTGGGAAATCACTAATTCGATTAATTCAGATTTATAACACCTAGGGCAGCGGCAGAGCTAGGATGAAAAGTTGAATATCCTTCGTTAAAAAAATTATATTGATTTTTCATTCTAAAGTTAAACATAGTTTAAGGTCGAAAAAATCACATTCATCCCACCAAACTTTACTCTAGAGAACCTTTGGTGAGATTTAAATCCGAAAAGTGATGTGAAGTGAATAGCAACTATTAAGCTACAAATCCAATTTCTCGTCTATAATATAAATGTTGTAAAAAATCATTCTGTTACTTCTTTTTTTTTTTTCATTTTCTAAATTGCTAATCATAAATATCTTTTCTGACTATTATATTTTCCTTTACCCTATTTCTAAATTGACATGTTTATTTTTCTATCCAACAACTCAATATTTTTCCGTCTTGTCGGGTGTCCTCCTTTCTAGGTTACGAAACAGTGATGTGCTCTTTTTCCTTTTGTTTTTGTCTTAAAGTTCTCACGTTAAGACATATATTTATGTTATATATTCTGATTGTGTAAAAGTTTTTAACTTATATGTATTATACAGTTTAACATGCGACCGTCGATTAATTATTATTTTTATCAGATTATTGCTTAACGTTGAGCATTAAAGTTTATTTAATTACCTTATAAAATATCTAACTGTGTGAATATTTCTAGAAACTTCAGTATATAGAATTTAAGTTCACGATTTGAATTTTGAATGGTGTAGGATCTCATTTCTTTATTTAGTATATTAGCATATATAAGACATCAAATTCAACCTTGATTTGACAACCCTCTCGATCATCATTATAATCTCTTTTTCTCCCAATAAAGCTCGAAAGAATATGCTATCTCCCTATATAGTTTGATCCTTTTCATACGTTTGTTTCATTTTCGTCAAATTGGTCATTTTTGTACGTTGAAAGAGATATAATAAAAATATAAACCACCTCTGCCTCCTGTGAAAAAAATATATATTTGTGGTTGAGATGTGGATTAATTGAGACCCTGAATTGTATCCTATATGTATGTTCTAATTATTATTATAATATTGAGCTTAAGTTATATGTACACGTCAATAAAAAAATTACACTATCAGATTACTCAAAAGATATATCTATAAATAAGATTTTTTAAAATGTGAGATCTGTAACCTTGAAGTAAAACATGTTACATGTTATAACAGGTAAATGTGATCTAATAGTTAAAAAATTTCATACATAGACAATGTATATAACTAATTAATTACTTACACATACATGTATACTTAGGTCTCGTAGACTTTATCTTATACTATTACTATTTATTAATTTATTTACTTATGTTCCTTCCATCATCAAGTATCATTATATTTGTTTGACATTTCAATGGTTGGTCCGCTCGCGGGGGACGCTTTGTACGAATTACACTTATAATCTTATCAACAATGTTGACCTTGAAATTATTATTATTTTTACTCATTCGGTATCAGATATCTGCATTGAAGCCTCGACTAAATCGGATTCACACGACGTAATGTTCATTAAAGGGGAAAGTATTCGCTATCAAAAAATCTTATCTATTCCACAACTATCCTATGTGGTACCTCGAACTATTAATGAGTATCCAACTTTAATACCTAAATGAGATTTACAAGGACGTACAACCAAATTATATACCAAATTTTATTTTATATGTACATAGACAGTTGATTTTTCGTCAAAAAATATTCCCCAGAATTAGCTACTTGTGCACGTTTGGCTATATATTTCTGATGCTTTTCATACAATAAGAATGAGTCTTTTGCAATGATTGAAGTATTCATCATCTACTTAATTTAAAAAGAAAAATATATTCGTAGAGAAAATATATACTGAAATCTGTAGGGTAGACTTTCAAGAAAAGAAATATGATTTTGTTCAGGCAAAACTGAAATTTGCAAGAAAAAATAAAATAAGGGGGGGGGGGGGGGGG